ACATGTGTGATGTAGCTCCTGTGTCGAAAATCCACTGCCAGTTCCTGCTCTTGTATGTGAAAGCTGGATATGCTATGTTTTCATCGGAATCAGAAGTAGCGAAGGTATTATTTGCTTGTTCATTTTTTCTTTTATTTCTGCAATTATTAATAGTGTGACCTTTATACCACCTTTTATTTTCTTTGCAGAATAAGCATTCTAAGGATTGATATTTAAGGATTTTTTTCTTTTTCTGGTTACTTAAAAATGCTTGATTTTCTTCACACTCTGTATTTACTGCACACCCCGTATTTACTACATTAAGTTCAAGTAATCTGGCACATACATCATCGTATGTTAAATTATCTTTGGTTGTCAAATTATCTATAATGTTATCGATTTCACTTGGTAACGTAGTTAAAAATAGTGATCCTTTCGCTTTTAAAGAGGTCGCCAATGGTCTGAATGCTGCTTCTAGTGATTCTTTGTCTGTTTCGTTAGACCTGATTGCGGTTCTTTCAATTAATCTTGCCCAAAGTTCATTATATTTACCAATATGCTCAGGAATAGTTTTTACAGATTCACACTTAATACCAACTATAGCCTTAACCAAAGCATGCAAGGAATACTCATTTTTCTTGTCAAAAATGTTGTTTAATGCGTTCCACATACATACTGCGTCAGGATAACATGTAATTTGGGGTACAATTTCTGAATCAACATTAAAGAGAATGAATGCTTTAGCAAGAGAATGTCTGTATCTCCAACTTTCGCATTGTTCAATATATTCTTTAGCTGCGGCATTTTCTTCTGGCTTCTTTTGAAGTGCAGGGTCCTTTTCCTCGCCAAATACTAATTTTTCTAAATTAGTTAACTCAAAATACGCACATGCCATGGTTTTCCACGAATGAAAATTATGTTTTCCATGGAGTTTTTCAAATTTTGGAAACTTGTCCATGTTTAACATTTATATTCCTTTATTCTTAGCGTCGGCCTGGGCTCATAACCTTTTGAATATTTTGGAATAAAATATATTGGTTCTGACTTTTATTTTATTTAATCAAAAACTGACAACCTTTTATAAAAAACATCTAACCATCTAGTTATACAATATAGTCAACAAGTAAGTGTAAATAAAAAAATTAGATAAAATCAGAGCTGCATACTCAACACTAGTAAGTTTGAAACTTTTATTTTACAAAATAATTTAGGTCGATTATACCAAATTTGAAGAATTAATTTGTTATAAGGGGTCTAATGTGGAGAGTTGGTTCTGCATATTTTTATTAAATAAATATAAGATATATCAATAAATAATAAAATAGAACATTCTTAAAATATGTTTATTAATAAATTAAATAAATATTATTAGATAAAAATAAATACAAATAATAATACATATTTAACGAATACTTACTTGGAGCAAATAGATATATAATCTCAAATCTTTAAAATACCTATCAATAATGTAAATGTGAAGTAGAGACTAGGATATTACATTTTATTAACACTAAAGTTATATATTTTATAAATGTCTTTTTAACTGAGGACAAATGTAATATAGGTATTGTATTAAAAGGTGAATCCTTTTAACTATTCATTCAATGATAAATAGGTATTTTCCTTCCAAATACAGATGGTGATACAGATTTCGGAATCTAGTCCAGTGATAAATTGATTATCAATTAGTTGTTGTCCCCGTTTGTCTTTTTATGATGCAGATGCATGGTTATGGTGAATCAATGAAGTTTTTCTCGAAGTTTTCAACGTAGCACCAAAATTATTGCAAAACACAGTAGGAAATAAAAAAGCGAAACATCACAATTTTGCAAATAACTAACACGAAACTATAAACAGAAACCAAAAGCCAAAGCCAACAAAAAATCACTAAAATCAGACGGAAAAATGAAACTAACCAAGAACATAAATAAATACACGTCACATCTTTGGAGTCTTTGGTTAAGTTTTTCTCCCATAAGGCTTAAAAATGGAGTAAGAAATCATAATTTCACCAGTGGCCCCATCTAGAGTTTGGAGCAAATAGCATAAAAAATGTCAGTTGTCGGTTTTGACCTTGGTCATTCACGTGGAACCTCTATGTGCTTTGTGGGACGACCTACCCAAGTCCGACTCAGGTGAGTTTCGTTTATAAATACCACTATACGAGGCAAAAGAGAGGTCCGACACGCCCAACATAGGGCGCGGCCATTTTGAACTTTGTGACACAGTTTACAGCTAAAGAATCAGATCGCTCACTCTGCGTTGGCACTTTAGATCTCAATGTTTCAGTTTATACACTGTGCAACTCGGATAATACAATATATGACAACCGCCTACAATAAAACAGCAGTCTTCTGCGTACCCTGAATTTGTATCCCTGGAGTGGATGTTATTTTGGAACTTTCAACTGGTCCGAGTGAGCTAACTGATTATTTAGCAATAAACTGTGACTTCAAAAAATAATATTCACTGACACTGACAGCAGCAAGCAAAATATCAGGTGCGTTTTAATCATCCGCTTCTGCTTCCGGAATTGTCGGTTTAGTCGTTTTAACCTGTCAGATTAAAACAAGAAAACCGACAATTCCGAAGCAGAAGCGGTTGATTAAAACGCTCCTATTAAAAATATTGCGCCAAGATGTAGGCAACACGTAATAAGGGTTCAAAATGGCGGAGTTTTCTATCTCCTTTTAAAAGGCACTCAGAAAGCTGCGCAGTGCGACCATTCTCCGTATAGTAAAAGAAAATCAAAGTATGTGTAAATACCACATACTTTGATTACTATACGAGGCAAGAGAGAGGTCCGACACGCCCAACATAGGGCGCGGCCATTTTGAACTTTGTGACACAGTTTACAGCTAAAGAATCAGATCGCTCACTCTGTGTTGGCACTTTAGATCTCAATGTTTCAGTTTATACACTGTGCAACTCGGATAATAGAATATATGACAACCGCCTACAATAAAACAGCAGTCTTCTGCGTATCCTGAATTTGTATCCCTGGAGTGGATGTTATTTTGGAACTTTCAACTGGTCCGAGTGAGCTAACTGATTATTTAGCAATAAACTGTGACTTCAAAAATAATATTAGGCATTCCAAACTGAATGGCTACCAGTGGGTTCTGACGGGTTATGATATGGCAAAATTATGGCAACCCTGTAGGCCTAGTGATTTGACAAGGTCAATGAAATAGTTACATAAGGTCTTTTCCTTTGCATCGAAAGTGTAGCACTGAGCTACACCACTTCTGAAAATATCGTTCCATTTATACAAATTGTATGGATGGAACAATATTTTCAGAAGTGTCGTAGCTCAGTGCTACACTTTCGATGCAAAGGAAAAGACCTATAGATTGATCATCCATATTTTTCAAAATAAACATAAGCTTATGCCTTGAAGTAAAAATGTAAGCAATTATTTTTTTTAAATATCTAAAGGCTAAAAATTGGTTTTAAAACACATTTTTGCTAAACCGATTCAGATTAATAAATATTTGCCAGGCAATATGGCCGCTCGTAAACGACCAGCTTTGATCAATCTATATAACTATATATGTATCATTGACCCTGTTAATAGGTTCTTTCGTTCGCTGTTGGTGCAGTGTCCACCAGTGTAAATTACACCAGTTACACCACCTTATTTACCTTAGTTTACTTCCCTTCTTATTCCTTATACACATTTCGAGTGTAATTCACTCTTGCTAAATAGCTGGTGGAGAAAATATCCACCAGTGGACACCACATCGCCGACAGGAAGGTTTAGTGGATTTTACACCAGGCCGAACGAAAGGTTTAGTGTACGTTGGTGTAGTTCATTCATACACCAGTGGGACGAACGAAAGAACCTAATGACAACATGACAACAGGGTTGCCATATCTAAACTGTCATTACCCACTGGTAGCCATTTGAACAGGTCGTTGGAATACCTAATTCACTGACACTGACAGCAGCAAGCAAAATATCAGGTGCGTTTTAATCATCCGCTACTGCTTCCGGAATTATCGGTTTAGTCGTTTTAACCTGTCAGATTAAAACAAGAAAACAGACAATTCCGAAGCAGAAGTGGATGATTAAAACGCACCTATTAAAAATATTGCGCCAAGATGTAGGCAACACGTAATAAGGGTTCAAAATGGCGAAGTTTTCTATCTCCTTTTAAAAGGCACTCAGAAAGCTGCGCAGTGCGACCATTCTCCGTATTAGGCATTCCAACGACCTGTCAAACAATAGGTGCCAGTGGGAAATTCTTGTATATTTAAGGGGGTAGCGACATAGTCTTGCAACTTGGACGCTATTTTTATTCGAAGTAGTACTCGCCAAGCCTACCAATTTATGAAGAAATGTATAGGTGGGTTTTTTAAATATTATTTTTATTGTGTTTGACATAAAATATTTAAATGTAATCCATTATTCATGATTTTACGTAAAGTAGATAGAATACACCATATGTCGCCACCCTTAGATATACCAAACCTGCCCACTGGTAATTCATTTGTTTGGAATGCCTAATAGTAAAAGAAAATCAAAGTATGTGGCCAATACAAAGAAGTAGAGAGGGTAGAACGATAAGGTACCGTCTGCGCATCCATCACGAGTGTAGAAATTATGCGTGATTCAGCCTTCCACTCTTACACACGTAAATGATAAGGAGAGGTTGCCCTAAAGCACTGTAAACAAATTCCAGGATCGACTTTATTCAGCGATTATGTTCATGTTCAGCTCTGTTTTTTGTTTGTGTTTTGGCTGTTGTAAGCTTTTTTGGCGTCAATTCTTTGTTATCTTGCTTATATTTATGATTTTTTATGCTTTTATTCCGATTTAGTATTAAATTATACTTGTTAATTATTTTTCGATGCACTATTTTATAATTGTTGCACAAAATGTTGTTAAACCGTCCCTGAATTTTGTTTACAAAATGTGCAAAACGAAATTGTGCATAGTGTCCAGACTTTTTCATTGACAGTTATCATTCTACCCCTCTCCACTTCATTGGGCCAATACTGATTAACAGCAACTTGTCAACAAATCATTATCATTTTAGTTTTTACTGACAATTTGTTAAAATTTAATTATATTTCGCGTTTTTAGTTGTTACTTAAAAATAAAATGTTTATTATACCAGAAGATATTTTAAAACAATTAGTTTGTTCGGTTTGTCACCATTATTTATCAGTTGAACCGATAAAAATTTATAGAAATAGAGATATCAGATGCGGCCGATGTTCCAAAAATGAAGACGGCGGAGTTGTATCTATGTACAAACATATTATTAGAAATGGAATTTTTCCATGTATCAACAGGTAAATTAATACAATTATTATATATAATTAAATCCCCAAGCCTAATTTTTAACCGACTTCAAAAAAGGAGGAGGTTCTCAATTCGTCGCGTATGTTCAGCAATAATTCTTTAACACGGTGTCCGATTTCAATGATTATTTTTTTGTTGGAAAGAAGGTACTTCAGGGGTGGTCCCATATAAATTTGGTCAAAATCTATTAATTGGGTCCATGAGAAAATCCTCACTCTTCATTTTTTAATGAGGCTGAAGCTAGCAGACAAACCGCGCGGCGGTCCCCAAATGTTTTGATGTTATTCGGCAAAATCTTTGGTTTAGGTGGAGTTTAGTATCATGAAAGTTTAGAAATAAATAAATATTAGTGTATTTATTGAAAAAAATGGATTAAGTCAATTTGAATTATTAATTAAAATAAGATAATCTTACACAAAGACGGGGAAGAAACAAACACATTTACAATGCGATTATAAATATAATTTTTATACCAAATATTCATTAAGTTTTTGTTAATTGAATAAACAAAAAATTATGGCCGAACAATCATTTAAAATATATTTTTTTGGTCTTTTTAAAGTCAGGTGTTTTGTCGTCAAACGACTATAAGAATTAAGAGTCCAAAAAAACACATTTAGCACGAGATTACAAATACAATTTTCATACCAATAATTTAGTACACCACTAGCTATAAAATAAATAAATAATCATTAAATAGCAAGACCTCTAATTACATTTTTTAGATCTTTAAAAATGCGTGGTTTCGCGGAAAAACATTATTCTACCAAAATATCAAAAACCAATATTTAGCACGAAATTCTAGATATAATTTTTAATACGAATGATTCAATAGATTAGTATAATTCAAAAACACAATAAATCATTACATAGCAAGACCTCCAAATTTGTTTTTTAGGTCTTTAAAAAGGCGCGATTTCGCGGATAAACCTTACTTTATAAAAATGACAAAAACCAATATTTAGCACGAAAATTCAGATAAAATTTTTAATATGAATGACTCCTTACATTAGTATAATTCAAAAAAATAATAAATCATTACATAGCATGACCTGTAAATACGTTTTTTAGGTCTTTTGAAAAGAGCGATTCCGCGAATAAAAATTACTTTATCAAAATGACAAAAACCAATATTTAGCACGAAAATCCAGGTATAATTTTTGGTATGAATGATTCAGTACATTATAATAATTCAAAAAAATAATAAATCATTACATCGCAAGACCTCCAAATTTGTTTTTTAGGTCTTTAAAATAGCGCGATTCCGCGGATAAACATTACTTTATCAAAATGACAAAAACCAATATTTAGCACGAAAATCTAGGAATAATTTTTAGTATGAATGATTCAGTACATTATAATAATTAAAAAAAATAATAAATCATTACATAGCAAGACCTGTAAATACGTTTTTTAAGTCTTTTGAAAAGCGCGGTTCCGCGGAATAACCTTACTTGCTATGTAATGATTTATTATTTTTTTTAATTATAATAATGTATTGAATCATTCATACTAAAAATTATACCTGCATTTTCGTGCTAAATATTGGTTTTTGTCATTTTGATAAAGTAATGTTTATCCGCAGAATCGCGCCATATTAAAGACCTAAAAAACGTATTTGGAGGTCTTGCTATGTAATGATTTATTATTTTTTTGAATTATACTTATGTATGGAGTCATTCATACTAAAAATTTTATCTGAATTTTCGTGCTAAATATTGGTTTTTGTCATTTTGATAAAATAAGGTTTATCCGCGAAATCGCGCGATTTTAAAGACCTAAAAAACATATTTGGAGGTCTTGCTATGTAATGATTTATTATTTTTTTGAATTATTATAATGTATTGAATCATTCATACTAAAAATTATACCTGGATTTTCGTGCTAAATATTGGTTTTTGCCATTTTGATAAAGTAAGGTTTATCCGCGAAATCGCGCGATTTTAAAGACCTAAAAAACATATTTGGAGGTCTTGCTATGTAATGATTTATTATTTTTTTGGATTATTATAATGTATTGAATCATTCATACTAAAAAGTATACCTGGATTTTCGTGCTAAATAATGGTTTTTGTCATTTTGATAAAGCAAGGTTATTCCGCGGAACCGCGCTTTTCAAAAGACTTAAAAAACGTATTTACAGGTCTTGCTATGTAATGATTTATTATTTTTTTTTTATTATAGTAATGTATGGAGTCATTCATACTAAAAATTTTATCTGAATTTTCGTGCTAAATATTGGTTTTTGTCATTTTGATAAAGTAATGTTTATCCGCGGAATCGCGCCATTTTAAACACCTAAAAAACATATTTGGAGGTCTTGCTATGTAATGATTTATTATTTTTTTGAATTATAATAATGTATTGAATCATTCATACTAAAAAGTATACCTGGATTTTCGTGCTAAATATTGGTTTTTGTCATTTTGATAAAGTAATGTTTATCCGCGGAATCGCGCCATTTTAAAGACCTAAAAAACATATTTGGAGGTCTTACTATGTAATGATTTATTATTTTTTTGAATTATTATAATGTACTGAATCATTCATACTAAAAATTATACCTGGATTTTCGTGCTAAATATTGGTTTTTGTCATTTTGATAAAGTAATTTTTATCCGCGGAATCGCGCCATTTTAAACACCTAAAAAACATATTTGGAGGTCTTGCTATGTAATGATTTATTATTTTTTTGAATTATAATAATGTATTGAATCATTCATACTAAAAAGTATACTTGGATTTTCGTGCTAAATATTGGTTTTTGTCATTTTGATAAAGTAAGGTTATTCCGCGGAACCGCTCTTTTCAAAAGACCTAAATAACGTATTTACAGGTCTTGCTATGTAATGATTTATTATTTTTTTGAATTATACTAATGTATGGAGTCATTCATACTAAAAATTTTATCTGAATTTTCGTGCTAAATATTGGTTTTTGTCATTTTGATAAAGTAAGGTTTATCCGCGAAATCGCGCGATTGTAAAGACCTAAAAAACATATTCGGAGGTCTTGCTATGTAATGATTTATTGTGTTTTTGAATTATACTAATCTATTGAATCATTCGTATTAAAAATTATATCTAGAATTTCGTGCTAAATATTGGTTTTTGATATTTTGGTAGAATGATGTTTTTCCGCGATACCACGCATTTTTAAAGATCTAAAAAATGTAATTAGAGGTCTTGCTATTTAATGATTTTTTATTTATTTTATAGCTAGCTGTGTAATAAATTATTGGTATGAAAATTGTATTTGTAATCTCGTGCTAAATGTGTTTTTTTGGACTCAATTCTTATAGTCGTTTGACGACAAAACACCTGACTTTAAAAAGACCAAAAAAATATATTTTAAATCATTGTTCGGCCATAATTTTTTGTTTATTCAATTAACAAAAACTTAATGAATATTTGGTATAAAAATTATATTTATAATCGCATTGTAAATGTGTTTGTTTCTTCCCCGTCTTTGTGTAAGATTATCTTATTTTAATTAATAATTCAAATTGAATTAATCCATTTTTTTCAATAAATACACTAATATTTATTTATTTCTAAACTTTCATGATACTAAAGTCCACCTAAACCAAAGATTTTGCCGAATAGCAACATCAAAACATTTGGGGACCGCCGCGCGGTTTGTCTGCTAGTTTGTCTGCTAGCTTCAGCCTCATATTTTTTATGTATGTTTAGCGATAATGCTTTACTACCTTGTCCGATTTATATGATTCTTTTTTTGTTAGAAAGGGGGTACTCCAGTGGTGGTCCCATATAAATTTGGTCAAAATCTAATAATTGGGTCCATGAGAAAATCCTCAAACTCTTCATTTTTTTATGTATGTTTAGCGATAATGCTTTACCACCTTGTCCGATTTATATGATTCTTTTTTTGTTAGTAAGGGGGTACCTCAAGGGTAGTTCCATATAAATTTGGTTAAGATGTGGTGATGGCATCTACACGTTTTTGAAGTTGGTTTTTTTAAAATTTTTAATTTCCTAAGTTTGATTCACTTGAGTTTCAAGTGCAAAATATCTACTGCACTTTTCACTAATTTTATTTAATTTAGGTATGAAGGATGCACACGTTTGCTGGCTCATTCGGAAATTGCGGCTCATGAAAAGGAATGTTTATCAAGATGCTACACTTGCCCATTATGCTCATTAAAGTTAACCTCTTTTAATTTCGTTGGACATTATAAAAAAGATCATGCTGATGCCGTCCTGGAAAAACCTGAAATAATTTTAACTGTGAATAAAGAATGTGAATTTGAGAAGTACTATATGTACAGAGAAAATGATTTTATTTATATATTATATGTGAGATGTAATTTAAATGATTCCTGTTTTTATGTGAATGCTGCATGTCTAGGTCCTTCTGACAGAGTGCACAAAATCAAACAACACTTGAAATATTATTTGGGAACTGATAGAAATTCAGATGAGCTATTTTTAGTAACCAAAAAACGAAACTGCTCAATTGTTGAAAATAACTTGGAATGTTTTAAATTGCCCTTTTTTATGAATATGAAAGCAGTTAAGATTAGCTTTTTTTTAGATATGTCTGATGTTAATTTTTCAAATTATATAACAGATAATACAATTTGTGCTAAAACAAATAGTTCAAATGAAATTATTGGCTTGCATAATGAGTATCCTAAAATGTTCCTTAGTAAAGAATTTAAAAGCACTTATCCTGATTTTAAATTATCTTCTTGTGGTACTAAACTCTTTAAGAATTGTGGTGAAGAGTTTCCAAGAATATGTGAATTTTGTGAAAATATTTTCCCAAATTCTAAATCCATTAAATTATATGGATGTATTTGTGAGCACACGCATTGTGATGATTGTTATGCTATAAGACCTTGCTGCTGCAAAACTTATGCCAGGGAATTCGTATATCCCTGCGACCAATCAAACGTTTATAACTCTCTATATTTTTACTGTAAATGGAATTGTGGAATTTTTTTTTCTGGTCCAAATTTAAGAGGCCATGAAGATTGTTGTAAATTTAATAAAGATACATGTGAATTACCAGAATTGGCAGCAAAATATTTTACTTCTTACTCGAGTGATCAAGAAACTAATATTATTTCAAGGTCAAATATATTTTTGTTCAAACAATTCAAGTTTCATACTGATCTAAACATCTTTGTAATCACCAGAGATTACTTTAAATTTGTGTTGCATGTTAACTATGACAATAGGATGTGGAATTTTACGGTTTCCCATGACTACCCAAAGGATAAGTATTACTTACTATTTAAAATTAATGAAAGCCAGGAAAGTAGTTATTGTTGTGTTGATTCATTCAGATGTCATATTGATCAGGCTATTTTGGGTTTTGCTGTTTTATTGAGAAAAGTTTGTTAAACACACACTGAAGTTTTTATTTTATCAAATGTATGTGGATCAATAATTAATTAAGATCAATTTAAATGCAGCTTTCTTAATAATACTTTTTATAAGTTAGTATTTGTTTTTGACATTTAAAAATTGCCTTTCATATTCAAAATTAGATCTCTTTATATATGTGTTTTCTTATATGAGACGTTTATTTTGAAGTCCATTTATACTTAAATTGAGACATCTTAGAGTTTGTGTAAATTTTGTTTAACTGCATTAATTAAATTATCTGATTATTCAACTAATGCATTTGTCCAAAAACTAAGGTTACCTTGTGAAATACTAATTAATTAAAATTACCTTCATCACTGCCTTCAGGCATTATCGATAATGAATAACTTAATTTAAGTATAAATGGACTTAGGCCACTTTCAAATTAAACGGCTCATATATTAATTTATTTTGTATTATGTTTGGTAAGATAATGATACTATTAATTTGTGTCACCAAAAGTTTACTTTATGATTAAATAAATGTTTCATTTTGAATAACATTTGAGTTTGATTTTTGCAAGGGGAGCCATGAGATAAGATTAATTATTGTCTCATAGATTCTCCTGAGAGGCACCGCAAATTGAAATATACCTTCTATCTCAAACAAATAATGATTGAGAGTGAACCGTGTTGTCATATCTCAATTTTACCTTACTAGTTTTTAGCAGAATCAAAATAGAGTAAGTAGTAGAGTTGTAAGTTGTGGCAAATTATAGATAATATACAATCATAGTACTAATAAAAGATATTAATTATAACAAAAATCAGTAATGAGTAATACTTATACATTTCTTGATCATTTAAAATTAATTATTTTATGGATTGTTCAGTATTTGTTACAACTAATGGCATCGGTGTACGGAGCGATATTTGTGTCTTTGTCTATTACGCGTAAAATCCATCTCGTCGATGACGTTCTCAGTAGTGTATTTCTAACCACGAGCGTAACATCGGGTTTTGAATTATAACGGTGTGAAGTGTAAGTTTTACAGTTAAGTTAGTAAGTAATCGACGTGTTGTAAGAACAATTGGTGAAAATATTAGTGCTAATAAATGTTTAAACATTAAATAATAATATTTCTACACCGTTCTAAAACTATGCAAAAAATGGAAGACATTGAAGGGCCTTCAACGTCGAAAAAGGTAAAACGGTCGAAGTCTCGGTCGCTAAGTGAAAAACAAATTGTACTTCGAGTATTTCACTGTCTTTAAAGAGATCATCAGCGACCAAAAGATAACTTAGTGCATATGTGCTGTAATTCTACGGATGTACCTCCGAATAACCAACCGGGCGTTCCAACATCATTAACTTCCACAATTACAAAAGATAAATTAGTTGATATGTGCTATGATTATACGGGTGTACCAAAATCATCAGTTTACAAAATACTAAGAGAAAACAAAATTCATGGGGAAGTACAAACGCCAAAAACTAGTAGCGGAAGAAAAAATCACAGTTGATGAAGAAGCCAAAAACAGTATACGCACAACTATTCACAGTTTCTTTTTCAGAAATGAGCTGCCCACTTTGCAAAAAGTTCTGGAGGCAGTTAGCGATCATGAATTGGTCCCACAAATGAGTAAAGAAACTTTGAAGAAAATTTTACACGAAATGAAATTTACGTACGGAAAAGTCGACAGGAAAAGCATTCTCATTGAACGTCAGGAAATAATAGTATGGAGAAGAAATTATCTCCGAAAAATTGAGGAATTTCGGAATATCAAAAAAAAAATTTACTACATGGATGAGACGTGGGTTAACCAAGGACATACGGTCAAAAAAGTATGGCAGGATGGTCTTATAACAAGTGCACGACAAGCCTTTATTGAAGGCTTGTCAACTGGGTTAAAACAGCCGTCTGGAAAAGGTAGTCGTCTGATAGTTACGCATATAGGAAGCGACATTGAAAAATGGTTTGAAGGCATCATTCAACTTGTGGAACCTGGGTCTGTCGTCGTCATGGACAATGCCCCATATCATAGTCGGTATTTAGAATCATTACCGAAACAATCATGGAAAAAACGAGCAATTCAAGAATGGTTAATTAATAAAAACATCCAATATAAAAAAGATAGTTTAAAGGCAGAACTACTTCAGTTAACAAAATTACACAGAGACAAATATAAAAAATTCGCAGTGGATGAAATGGCGTTAAGTCGTGGAATTACAGTATTAAGGTTACCACCGTACCACTGCGAATTAAACCCAATAGAATTAATCTGGGCGCAAGTAAAAGGATATGTGGCACGAGAAAACAGAACATTTAAATTAGTGGACGTGCAACGTTACCTACAAGAAGCCATTCAAAATGTTTCTGCAGAAGACTGGAAGAAATGCATTCAGCATGTTTTAAAAGAAGAGCAAAAAATGCGGGACGTAGACAACCGTATTGAACACAATATTGAATCAATCATAATTAACTTTGATGATAGCGGTAGCAGCAGTGACGAATCTGAGGTTGAAGATTAGAAGAAAATTTGTACACAAAAAGAAGTCTATATATTTAGGTATAATTTTTATTTTTACCATTCACTATTACCATTTAGAAATTATTATATAAATTTGTATTTTTAATTCCTGTACACAGACATGAACAATGTCTCAGCAGGATACATATGTTTATTTATTTAATTATTATTATTGTATCAATTTGTACATTGTTACATAAATTTGAAATAAACATTATTATTATTATTATTATTATGTTTGGCGGTCAAGAAAACATAATCCTGTAGGTTATATCCAAACTAATTATCTTACTTAGGGATTTCCGAAATGATAGGTGCGTGTAAACTTTTTTGATTTAAGTACCAATCAAATAGTAATTTAAGCGTTATAATGTCTTTTAATGTTGGCCGAACCCAATTAGGGTTTCTTGGGTAAGGCTGGCTAGTTTCGAGGAACTGCAGGTAAACCGGGAGGGAGAGAGAGAGATATATATATATATATATATATATATATATATATATATATATATATATATATATATATATATATATAGAGGTATGCTTTATTGTCATTGAAAAATTACAAAAATTTTATAGACAAAGCGAAGTAAATTAAAAACTAAATATAATATAAAAAGATTAAAAAATATAAAAATTTAAAAATAACTAAACAAAACAAAATAAAAATATCAATTGCATTGGATATGCAATATCCGTCATTATGATTTTAATTTAAAATTTAAGTAATACTTCTGTATGTGTAACCCAAGAAGAAACTTAAGAGACAGTTCCTTACTGACTTCGGCCGCGACATAATATATAAATATACGTTAATTTGTGAAATAAAGTTAAATTCATTATTAAAATAGTAAAATTGATAATATTGTTTCTGTCACCAAACCAACCCCTGATTAGGTATCTTTCTTATTTTTAATTTGAAATATATATTGTGATTTTTATTAATATTCTTAATTTATTTGGTTCCTACTATAATTACCACAATTATTACTCCGTTTTCATAAAGCCCCACTAATGACTACAATGATTAGGTAAATTACGATATTGCAAAGTTTTCATGAAATAAATAAAAGAAATTGTATGAATATTTTAAATAATTGTACCCTCTCAAAAATAATAAGCACGCCTCCGATTTGGTCGTATTTCTACCTGCTTTCACTCTCAATCATTATTTGTTTTAAATAGATAGATATATATAGATAAGTATTTCCCAAAGTGGTCCGGGTGGACCCCCAGGCGTCCACGGGAGACTCGACGGGGGTCTACGTTGAGCTTAATAAAAAATGGGGGTCCACAATCGTAAGCGGGGGTGCATGAAAATTAATTTGGTTTCGATAGTGAAGCAATATACTATTAAACAATTGATTATTCATTTTTCCATGTGATGAAGAAATTCTTGTAAAAAACTTCAACAGTCAACATTTTAGTTACTAAACTGTTGACTTGACTTTTATCAACATAGGCAGATAATATTTTAAGAAGCTCAGCGACTGTTGTAAAAACTTGCATATTCCATATTCAGTACAACGCGTCGAGACTTGTCGTTGCCGCGCGGCCCCCGTCCAGTTCGCAATGCTTGTTCAGACGTGCAAATTAATACGACTTATGGTGTATGTGCTTGCAATCTTGCATGAACGTGTTTGATTCTTCACCAATATAAATACGAATGTCAAGGATAATCGTTACTCATTTGTTTCTGGAATTTCATAAAGAAAAGTGAATCGATATTAGTGTTGGCCAGTGACTGAATTTGTTTCCAGACTTTCGAAAAGAAAAATAAAGTGAATCGATATTAGTGATTGCCAGTGTCGAAAAAGTAAGTACCTAAATGCCTATTTGTTATATACATATAGTTTTAAGCCGAGAAAGATTGAACTTATCGTCCCTACTTTATTTTTATTACCTATCTAATTCATTTAATTATTGCTTAGTTTTAATTTCAAAATATTGTTTAAAAGTTTATAGAATTTAGAGAAATATATTAAAATATAAATGAAATAATAATTTTATGTCACATTAAAATAAGTTCAGCCGTTTTCATAAAACTCTATTATGGATCTTAGCGATTTATTGCTTTTAATAATTAGAAACAGTTTGCAGCCGGAACTTTGTTTATTTCATAATATTTATAATAATTGATTAAGGTTTATATGGACCCTCGGAAAAAGTATCTACACGTTCAAAATTTTTGAAAAAATGTGTGAATGTATATACAACCTTAAGTATTATTTTACCAAAATTTGATCCGGTTTGTATCATTTGTTCTCAAGAAAAATCGGAAAATTTACTTTTTCACAAGGATAACACAAAGAAACTAGACTATCAAGAGAGATCATTATTTCATAAAATAAATTAGTTTTGGTTAAGAAACTTACATAAATTTTATGAAAATTTTTGAACTTGCAGAAATGACGTAATTGAAGAATATATTTATTTTATTAACAAAAATTAGATTTAAACTATAAAAATGAATGTAATATTAAAGAATATACCTTCAATAATTATATTTAAAGACATTGACCTCAAAACATTAATAAGTTTTTTATAAATTTAGTGAAAAATTCAATTAAACAATAACACTATTTTGAATTTCCTCATTCAAAGTCTCATCTCTGAGAGGTGCTGCCATCTCAATTAGTACTTTCTAAAATTGCTCACAGAGAGCACTACATTTCCTACTCAAACAGAAATTTCCGATGTCCGCGTACACCAACGCTACCGTGTTGCCAGATCGAGTTGTATTACTAAGTTCGCTGGATTAAATAAATATTTTTCTATTAATAATTCGGTCGATGCAAACGTACCTATTCATTTTACAGAATATTTGAATTATTTAATTATTAAATGAAAGGTACATTCTGAATGATGCATGTGTTTTATCAATTAAAAAAGTTGAACAGATGTTTACCAAATATCAGTATCATGTTAATTGCATGTTGATTAGTTTTTGGTA